GTTAGCCCATGAGGTGAAATTCATTTACCTTCCTGTCCCATGTCAATTCTTGTAGCCAATCTCTCTTGAATTTATGTCAAATGTTTTCCTATCTTCAAACCAAGAACCCCCCTTCTTCTCCACCTTCCTCCTCTTTCTCTGCACATGACTTCAACTTCTACTTCCTAGAGAGGAGCTCTGATTAGAAACCATCAGATCACCTTTTCACCACCAAATTACCTGTCTGCCAGCCTCCTCCCTCCTCCAATTACAGGTGAGGCAGTGCCCTTCTCTATCAGGCCAAACCCTCTGCCTGAGCTCTGGCCCCCACCTTTCCTGCCTTCTTGGAACCTGGGGCTAGTAACTTCCAATTTCTCTCCTGTATCATCAGCCTCACCTCTCCACTGTCCACTTCTCATCATGGTTTAAGCATGCTCAGTTCTCTTTTATCTTAAGACAAGGTGGGTGGATGGGGGGAACAACATGGTTACTGACTTTTAATTTTGCCAAGTAAGGCCATTTGTCTTATAACACCATCATTTTTTTTAAAGCAAAAGATATTTAACTTCAAATACAGTAGAAAGGAGATAATTTCAGAATATAAGCCTGTAAGCTGAATAAATGTCACTAATTAAAAATTCACTACCTTGTACTTATTTCTCTCAGTTATCTATAGACCAGAGGAAATCCGAAGATATACTTCAGATCTTTCAGGACCCTCAGCCTCAGCTTGTCCACCTGCATGGGCCTGGTAGTCAGGGATCAGCCCTCCCTTCCCCCTGGGCCAGCACACCCCTCCCTGGCAGCAGCCTAGCTCCTTCCAGAACATCTGGGTTTGCACCCTGGCCACAGCCACCTCCCAGAGAGGCAGGGGTCCCCAGATGTCACCCAGGCCTGCTCAGAGTTGTCATACACGTCTACACCCCCACTGGCCCTGAACCTGTTAAAAACTTCCAGACTGCACCTGGATACACAAACATGACGGACACTGAAGGAGAGTGTTCTTCTGCGGAATGCACCAGCTACAGAGACACTTTGCCAGAAAATCACCAGCCTTTCCACAGTATACAGCAAGGGCACCAGGTACCGGGGAAACGGCCGGGGCTGGGACCCAGGGGGCCAGGATTCAAGCTGGAAGGCTGCCTGCGTGACCTGAGGAAGCCACTCATCTTTGCTGGGCCTTAGTTTCCACCTGCAATATGAGTATAATAAAACTCACCTTGTGGTGTTATTGTGAAGATCAGAGGTAATGTAATCTAAGAGCCTGGAGTGGTGGCCGGTGCACAGTAGGGTCTTTATCATAAGGATCTGTCCACCACGGTGGAGAGTTTAAGGATATTATCTAAAGCATCTAGCATAGTCTGACGAGGCAGGTGTATTGTCCCCATTTTACAAATGCGAGACTGAGGTCCTTGGAGGTGAGCTGGCTTTCCCAGGCTCTCTGAGTTAACAGTGGTGGAGGTCTGCTTCACACCTAGCCTTCCTGACTCCAGCGTTCAGATCCTTTGTATCAAATCCCCCTGTGGGGCAGCACAGAGGAGGGGCCAGTCGGCCTACAGCCCTGGAAATCTCAGTCCATGCATGTGGGCTCTCAGGAAGGGATTCTGGAGCAGGGGTGGGTTGGGGAAGGGTCTGCCTAGGCACTGGGGGGCTAGGCAGGTGGAGGCTCTCTCTCTCACTCACCGGCCTGCTGTAGAAGGGCAGAACCTCAGAAGAGGCCTGGCTCAGACACCTGGCAAGGCTGGGCTGGGGTTGACCAGGTGTCTTATCATTACATTTTTGTTTCCTAAGCTATTTCCTAGAGACACCCACGAAACTGGATCTGAGAGGCCTGGACTAGATTAAGAGCAGTCACATGTTTGGGGGGTGGCGAGGTGGATTTCTAGTGGCACAGACCTCCCCTCCCTCCCACAGCCTTGGGGGCCCTGTGCCTTCTTTGAGGACGAGACGGGGGATGGGCAATGAGAGCTGGCTGACTCAGGTGCCCAGTGCCCGGCGGTCTGGGAGGCCCAAGATGGAACAGACATGCAGACAGGAGCCTGTGCGTGGAGCAGGTGTGTCTGCAGATCGTACACCACCAAGGAGCGCTTGGCTTGGCCCTGCCCTCACATCCTCAGCCTGCCATGGGATGTGGGACTTGGGAGCTCCGTGGCCATAAGGACGAAATGAGGCAGGTGTGCACTTCTCCTGCCACAAGCTGTGTGTGGCCACATTACGTGCCGACCCACTGGCTGTCACAGGTCTGCTCAGCTGGCTCCCTGACTGCATGTGAGAATGGAGCCCCTGACCACAGCTCCGGGCTTGGGGTCCAGTCCTGGCTCTGCCCCTGGCTTGCCATGAGCTTCCCCCATGTCCTGGCCTCTGCGGACTGCTGTCTGCCCATGGCTATAATGAGGTGGGCAGGCTCAAGCTTGGAGGCTGCGTCCAGCTTTGACAGTCTTGGGTCGAGGGTAGATTTGCAGAGCAGAGTAGGCCATTTGCTCCAGGTGTGGCTGAGCCAGAAGTGGTAGCTGCCAGCAAGATCTGCCCATGACCCTGGGCCTGTTGTATAGGACAGAGGGTCTCCAAGAGCCGAGCGGGGCTCCCACTGCCCTGACTTCACTGCTGGCCTGTCCTAAGCTCACCAGGCCCAGGAGACCAGGATGGGAGGATCTGGTCAACATTCATTCATCTGTGCGTTCCTTCACTCATTCATTCTTTCATATACTCACCAAACTGGAAACCTATTAGAGGCTACTGAAAACACAGGGATGATTAAGTGGAGCCTGCCCTCCCAGAGTTCAGGGCAGGTGGAGGTGGGAGACAGATGCAGCACCATTCACCGGCTACACTGCAGAGAGCAGCCTAGCAGCGGGGAGAGGACTGGGGGGCTGGAGGTGAGGGAGGCTTGGACCAGGACATTGATTGTGGGGATGGACAGGCTAGACAGGTGTGAGGTCTTTTTGGTGGTCTGTCAAAATGACTGACTGAGGACCAGCTGGATCAGAGATGGGGAAGAAACTGGAGGTGGGTATGAGGCCCACATGCTGGCCTGGTGCCTGAGTGGACATCTGTGCCCCACAGTCTTGGGGTTTCAGTGCAGGGCTGCCCATGCCATTGTGATTTTCAGCTCTGGGCACTCCTGTCCCCACACCCACAGGAAAGAGCTGGTGTTGGCTGCCCCCAGCCCCTGGGTGAGTGTGGTTCTGGGCCCGGGGCAGGTGGGGCAGGTGGGGCACGCGGAGTGCTGGCCCTTACCGGCCTCCCTCAGTGACTGGGCTCTCTAGTGGCTCCTCTTAGGCTGGAGGAGGAGCCTGGGGGCTAGCTGAGCTCAGAGTGTCTGCCCTTTTGTGGTCAGCTGCGGGCTGTTACAGCACGGGCTGCACTGCTCAGATGTCCACAGGACGGAGGACTGGGGAGGCTGCTGGGATGGTGAAGAGGGGGAGGGTGTGTTGGGAGCACTTACTTCCCTGCATGGTCCCCAAAGCCGTCCTGCCCCATGCCAGGTCCCCAGCAGGTGTCCTGCTTCTGCTGCCTCCTTCAGGAAGCTCCTTCCACCCCTACAGGCATCCCTCCCTTCTCAGAACTCTGAATAGCTCCTGGAACCATAGGAGGCCCAAGTGAGTCCTGGCTCTTTCTGCTCAGATGAATGAACTGAAGCTGCCAGAGGAGAAGGGACTTGCCAGAGGCCACATCAGGCCGTGGCATGGCTCCAACACGAGCCCAGAACTCTCCGTCCAGCTGTAGGTGTGGCCTTAAAGAGGCTGTCCCAGAGGCCCTGTGTTTCTGAGGCCCTTCCATGTGACTCTCCTGTGCTGAGGGCTGCAGGGGAGGGAAGACAGGTGCAGACACATGAAAGCTGGCTCTTGCCCTTGAGGTATTTGGAGCTGAATGGCTAGGGGCAGATGGGGCAGATCTCAAACAGTGGATGTGCCCCATTATGAATCAGGACAGCCACACAGGACCTTCTGCGTAGACAGGGTGCTCGACTTGATCCAACTCAACCTGATGCAGGCAGACACTGTGTGGGTAAGGGGCCAGGGGTCGGGGGGAGAGAGGGCAGTGGCAGTGAGTGCAACTCCCCCACCACCTTATTTAATTCTCACAAAACAGGAGGTGAATTCTTTCAGCCCAAATGGCAAGCAACATGAGCAAGAGATATGTTTACCATTGTAGCTCCAGAGCAAAAGCTGATTAATAAAGGAGGCAAATGCAATATCTTGGTCCCAACGTGGACAGTGCTGTCACCAGCAGGGATGGCCCTGGAGGAAGGAAGAGGGTGAGGGAGAAGCAGTAGGAGAGAGAGAGGAGAGGAACAGGGAGAGAGACGCTAAGCAAGCCCCCTACCTGTGCATCTGGACTTCCCAGAGCCCCAGAGGAAGCACCAGGCTCATAGTCCATGTGGTGATGATACAACTTGTATTAACTGTCACCATCATAATGATGAAAATAGTTGTGGCTGCCATTTTGAGCTCCTACTATGTGGTACTAATCTTTGCAACTATTCTGTAAGGTAGGTCTTTACAATTCATCACATAATCATCAGTGCCCATGCATCGGAAAGGGACTTGAGTCTTTGAGAAGGTCCCCTGCTGAGGCCATGCAGCCCAGAGCAGGCTGGACTGGGATCTAGAGCCAAGACCGCGGGATGCCAAGGCCCGCCTTCTCCCCACTGGGCCACGTGGCCATCGCCGTCTTGGCCTTGGCTCCAAGGGGTGGGCTCAAGGCTGAGCTGGACAATGGGAGCTGGCTATCATTCTGGGCCCTCAGCATGGCTTGCAGGGGTGTGAAGGGACCACAGAAGCTGTCCTGGCTTGGGCAGGGTCGCTGCCCTTGCCTGTGGAGACTTATCACAGAGGAACCCTTGACTGGAGGGAGGGGATCTGCTTCGGATCTCAGCTCTGCTGAACACTATGTGGCTTCTTCTGCTCATTCTAAGCCTCAACTTTTCCCTTTACAAAGTAGAGGTCAGGAGAAGGTCCGGCAAATCTCCCAGCCCTTAAGGATGCTACAAATCATCCCTTCCCCACTCAGGCCCAAACCTGCTCCGAAGGCAAAGAAGCAGATCTTGTCTTCGTTCTCCTGCAGAAGCGCCATGACCCTCTTCCCCATCCGCTCGTTCCTCTTGTAGATGAGCTCCTGGCGGAAGTAGCTGTCGATCTCCTGGGCTGTCACCTGTTCGTGCGGCGGGAGGGTGGTGTTGATAAAGTTGGGCAGCTGTAAAGGCAAGACAGGGGCTGCCTTCAGTCCTTTCTGGAGCCAGGTGGGCTTCCAATAAACACACACTGCCCAGGGTGGGGCTGGGCAACTTACCTTTCTTAAGTTCCCACAGTGGGCTATATGTTTTGTGTTTTTTGTTGATTCCAAAATGTTTTGAGATGACTGTTACCTCAATTTTAAAAATAAAGAAAGAAGAGTGAAAAGTCTAGAGACAGGAACAGAGTCACACAGCTCACTAAACAGCGAGCCAGGATGGCAGCCCGGACGCAGCCCCCTGCTACGCATCACTCCTGCGTCTCTGCCTGTTGGACCTCAGCCTCTGGACACGCAGGAAAGACTGCACTCAGCCAGTTCACAGCTCTCACTGCAGCACTGAGGCCGGTGCCGGCATGTACAGAAAATTTGGTTTAGCGTCAGGTGTGGAGGGTCAACTGAGCTGCCTGGTGTAGCAGAAAGGCTGACCTGGGCTTCAAGGCTCTATTGAGATGCTGTGTGACTTTGGACAAGTTACTTAACTCTTCTGAGTCCCGGTTTTCTCATCTGTAGGATGGGGAAAACTGTATTGTGGGGTATTACAGGAGATGATGGGTGCCGTTGTGGACAACTTTCAGCCCACCCCATCCTACAGAGGCAAGAGAAGGGGTCATAAACGTTGGTTTTCCCAGTGTATGAGCCCTAGTTGGCCACCTGCTGTTGCCACCGCTAACCCCTCATCCCCAGCTCCACCACTTCCCAGGATATAACCCAAACCCTTCCATCCCTTCTTAAAAACTTCAACTCCAGGACCAAGTCTTCCTGCCATAATGATGGCTTGTTCAACAACCTGGATTGTAACTGTCCATATTTCCTTGCTTTCTGCCCTATGTCCACACCCAGCTGTGTGCCCTGGGGCCAGCATCTCTGACATGTTCTTGAACTAGGCAGAGAGGTCCTTGAGTTCAGGAACAGCATCTTGGTCATTCCTGGGCCTCCGATGCCTGGCATAAAGTAGGTGCCCAGTACAGGTTTCTGGAGCCTTGAACATAAAGTGGTGCTGTCCTTCCACACCACATCGCCTCCTCCTGTGTTCTTCCAGTGCCAACATGTTGTCTTTCTAACCTGGATAACCTGGATGGCGGGTCCAGGTGTTCTGGCGCTGTGGCCTCCAGCATGTGGGTGGGACTGGAAAGGAAGCCATGGGCCACTGAGGAAACTGAGGCAGTGAGAAAGAATGTACCCTCTCTTTCCCCGCAACCCACCAGTGTCATTCTAACTTCCAAGCTGTCGCTCACCTGGGCTTCCACCCGGTGCCCCCTCTTTCATCTCTTTGCCTTCACCAGCCCAGGGCCAGCACACAGGTTGAGCTGGTGGAGAGCCTGGCATGAGGGGACTAACTTCCCTCAGGTTTTAGCCCAGCCACATGGCCTCTAGAGTTACTGGCGAGTTGTCAACAACATTCTTTCTGAGGAAAATGGAGACATCAACAGAGGCTGAACTTCAAGGGACTCAAGGGAGGCTGGGCCATCTGATTCTGCTATCTGTTGGCCAAGGACCAGTGCATTCCCCAGAGTGAGAGGGGTGGGGCTTCTCTGCCCCGCTCCTGGTCTGCTGTTCTGGGATGAACAGGACGATAATATGACCGGTGTGCCTCAAACCTGACAGTGCACAACCTGTGCAACTGTATGCAGCAGCCTTGACAGTGCCCAGTCAGGGCTGACACCAAGTTGGTGCTTGGAGACTGTTTGGTAAATGGATACATGAAGGAACAGAGTTCTTACTCCCTTCCCCAACCATGGGAAGCAATGTTTGGCAGCTCTGACAACACAGGCCACACTTAGACTTGATGCTGCTGCAGGAAACACAGCAGGTTTCTAAGTAGGGGAGGGGCACAGGAGAAGTTATGACTGAAAAGGGCTATTTCTGGAAACCTGGCCCTCACAGGCACAGGCTTCTCTCCATTCCTTGGGTATGGAAGAGAACATGGGATGATGTTGTACCAACAAATGAGTATTTACTCAATCAGTGAACAAATGAGTGCACGGGCTTGCAGGCAGTAGCTTGTGATGTAAGTCCTGAAGTCAGACAGCTGGGTCAGCTCGGGTTGGAATCTCTCTTTTGCCACGTACCAGCTGGGCGGCCTCTGTGACTCACAAGTTACTTGGCCTCTCTGAGATTCAGTTTCCAAACTGGTCATATAGGGGTTATAAATGTTGTAGGAATTAAACAAGATCAGTTTTGGAAAGTGCTTAGCACAGCGCCTGGTACAAAGAAGTGTGGACTAAACACCAGCTTTGCACAACCAGCCTGGAGAGTGGAGCTGGCTCCACACCTTTCCCCTCTGACGGCAGAGGCTACAGTGAAGGGTGGCCTTGGACAGAGACAGAGATGGACATGACAGAGAGATGGTGTTCAGAAGCATCAGAGAGCCATGAAGGCAGCATCTGGCTTCCCTCCCCTGCTTCCAAGGATCCAGGCAGAGGCCTTCGTCCTGGGACCTGTGAGGTGTCCAGTTCCCCAGTCCTCGGCTCCCTGACCATGAGTGTGCATTTGGAGATGAATCTCCACTCATTCCTTAGGGAGCTAAACAAAAAAATTAACAAGGACAAGAACCAGAAAGTTCAATGTCATAGCCATGAAGAAGCCGGGCTAGCCCCTTGGCTCCCTGGGCTGCCCAGCAGCTGGCTGACATTCTCTGCGTGTTTCATGCTGAAGGGCCCTGGATTGAGGCCAAAGATGAGGCCTAGGTTTGGGCCCAGCTGGATGGAAGCAAATTAATGATGTCATTCTGTTGGGAGCCTTAAATCTCCCACGACAAGTTCAAGTGCAGGACACATGATAACATTTTAAAGGAGACACGTCAGGTCCCCAGGGCCCTAGAGTGATGGGTCCAAGATGGAGTGAGGAGAAGATGGACCATGCAGAGCTGGAGCTGGGCTGTGGGGCTCCTCTGACCCTCAACCAGGACTGGGTCAGGTCTGGTGGTCAAGTGCTCAGGTCTGCTGATATCACGACCTCAGTGTCCTCCTATCCCTTCCCTTTACTCTGTCTATCCAAAGGACATCTTCTGAGAACTTCCATAGGTCCAGCCCTGTGTCTGGCTAGGAGGCCACAGAGTAACCTCAGACTGGGTCTGCTGCCCTGGATGAGGCTCACAGCCAGTGGGGATCAGAACACTGCGGGCGTGTGCTTTTAGAGGGAGGAGGCACCTAACAGGGTGACCACATGTCTTGGTTTGTCCAGGACAGTCCAGGTTCATGGCTAGGGTAGATTGCTCCATGCCTGTTAGTTATTCTGACTTAATTATATTTGACATTTCACTCTCAAAAGTGTCTGAGTATAGACGATAAATATATATGGAAGACTACATCTAATGCAGGCTGTGGGCGCAGAGAAGGCTTCCCAGGGGAAAGGCCTGTGGATTACCCTGCTGATTCGGGGGCATTGACAGGCCTAGTGGCCGGAGAGCTGTGGGAGGTCAGGGCCTCAGCCATTTCTGAAGGTGGGATGGTGGGGAGATGAAGCAGAGCCGACCAAGGGTGAGTGAGGTGTGCCTGTCCCGTGTCTCCCAGTGGTATCCTCCTGGGCCCTGGATCTGTCAGCCCCGGCTTCCAGAGGCCACTCCAGCAGCCTCTGCACTGCATTCAGAGGCATTTTTCTGACCCCATCCCTCTCTGGCTTGAATACCTCAGAGTGTCCGCCCCTCAGTGAGCATTCTCACCACCCCCTCACCTCCATGAGCTGCCCACTGCACATCATTCCCAGCACCCCCCACTTTCCCACGCCACCCCCTGCCCCCAGGCCGCTCGCTCTGCCTGCCAGCCCCTGCCTTCGTCCCCACCTGCAGACTCTGCTCTCAGGCCTAGCTCCAATACCACCTTCTCCCTGAAGCCTTCTCCACCTGCAGGCACTGACAGCACCCCTCCAGCTCTCCTGTCCTTCAAGGCCTCCAGCTGCAGACCCCTTCTCTGTTAGCATGTGAGCACTAGATTTAGCCTGGTTAGCCTGACACGGGGCTTGTCTGTGTCTGGGGGCAGGACTGCCTAGTCCCTCCCTTAAGGGCTAGACTCTGTCTGGACACACCTCGGTGCAGCCTGGGTTGCTCTTCTAATCTGGGTGGGCCGATCTACCTGTGCCCTCTGCCCTCCTTATGTACAGGCACTGCCAGGAGACCCCCGATGCAGTTCACCTGCTGGAGACATATCAGTAGTTCTGAACACAGGTTCAAAGAAAATCTGAACTTGTCATTCCTGAGGTCACTCCATTCTTCCCTCTCTCAGCTTAGTGTCTTGCCCTCCTCAGCCTGGATCCTGTCCAGTCCACACCTCATCCTTCTCAGGCCATCTCAAGTGGCAACCCAGTCCCTCGCAGCCACACAGCTCCCTGGCTGCCCAGGGCTCACCAGCCTCTGCCCAGCAGAGGACACAGGGTCAGGCTCCGTCACAGCATGGATGGTTGGTGAAGCACCTGTGAGCCTCGTGCCCTCAGGGTTCCCCCTCTCTCCTCTACCAGTGAGAGTCAGAGCACTCAAAACCCGAGCCTCCTGTGGCAGGGCCTCTGGGTCCTTCCCCACCTCACTCTGCAATGCACTGAGCAGAACACACACCTACATTCACCAATGTGGCATTGCTCATATTCGCTCTGTGCCAAACCCTGCACTGGGCACCAGGACGAGAGAGGGCAATGCACCCTTGCTCTCAGGGAGCTCATGGTCTAGGGGGGCCCCTGGCTATGCCTCAGGCCCAGACTCTTGCCCCTCCTCCTGCTGTCTCTTTCCTCCAGCTCATTCGCATAGTTTCCTCTGCTGAAACATACTTTCACCTCCTGTCTGTGGCCAGTGCGGGTTCTTCTCTGACCTCTCATCTCACAGGAATCTTTCCTTCTTTTCCTAGCCCTGTCCCAGTCCTACCCGCAAGCCCATGCAAATTCCTGCTCCTGCCACAGGCTCCAACAGCATCCTCTATTCTGCCTGGTAGCAAGGACCACACTTCGGTGCGATAGCTGGTTGAACCTCCGTTTTC